CCCCCCCCCCCCCCAATTAACATAATTCACATTAAGCCGTAAAAAAAGTACTCCTCTAGACTCTGACACTAAATTATATATCAATTCCATCCCCTCTCACATTCAATACTGCCATCTCTTTCTTAAAAAAAAAAAATAATGTGTATAGATAAATTGACTTTAATGATTCAATTAAGGTCGTATCATCAACATACGTGTAGTGTTTTTTTGGGCCCGAAACCCTACCCAAGTACCTAACAAGTAAAGGCTCCAGATTGTTTAAGCGCCCCCCACACACACACACTCAAAGCTGTAGGACGTATCTTAAAATAAGTGAAATTTAATCGCTACGCAATAAATATAAGAATTCTATCAGAGCTTAACTTTTAAAAAAAAATTGTACTTTCTAACATTGACATTATTTTTATTTAAATTTTGAGAGGTTTCCTGTCTCAGAAACTTAGCTGCAGTTTAAGACAAAGCAGAAGATTCATTCTTCTGTCCGCTTCTAACAGGGAGGAGGAGCCGCTGGGAGGTACAGTGAGCGATCTGCCGTAAGGCGAGACGCCTGCTGAAGATTCATCTTGTGGACTTTGATGGCGTCCTTAAAACATTAGATCCACCGATGGCTTGGTCTTCCTTTGGTCCAGCTACAGTAGTGCCTCGCATTGTAGGCTTACAATGCTGGCTGCGTTGACAGGCATTCTGACCAGGTGGCCAAGAAGTGGCACCAACACGTTTTCTCATTTCCTCGTTTCAAATGTGGTAATTTGAAGATTATAGAGGACAATTACTCTCTTCTCATTCAAGTTTTTAAAAATTTGTTGAGGGGTAGGGAGGGGGAGGTAACTCAGGTATACATTTATTTTTCTATTGAGCTATTCAAAGGGAAACCTTTCTCTTAACCAGTTTATGATTATAGATATTTTCAAACATTCCGGCACAGGGCCTACAACAATATTTTATAAAGACACTAAATAAATAACGAGCGGGAATGCATTAACAAGCGGTAAAGAATACAAGACTACAACAATGAGACTAAACCTAAGAAGTCTGTGTGATGTGTCAAATGAAAATGCTTCTAATGTAAAAAAATAAAGGATAAGTCGAATCTCCACACTAAAAATGTTTGAACCAGAGAAAATCAGACGTGGGGCAATCTGGACTCTGGACGCAACGCTACATAATCAACCAGTCAAACAGAGGGAGCGAATCGTCAGGTGGCTGATAAAAATAATTCTATTTTTCACTATTCTCTAACACTATGTGGTTCTCAACCTTCCCAATGCCGCATCCCTTTAGTTCAGTTTCTGATGTTGTGGTCACCCCCAATCATAAAATTATTTTCGTTGCTTCTTTTTATGAATATTTATTTTCTGAGGGAAATAGCAAAACGAGGTATGTGGAAGGTTGAATTAGAGAAAAGGAAAGCAATGGATATTTCTTGAGCGGTTTACTGTTCTCTTTTCTTTGTGATTTCTTCATTTGTCCTGTGTGCTGAAGAAGGCCCTGTGCCGAAACCTCCTAATCTTTTTTTCCTGTTCTCTAATTCAAGCTTCCACATACCTCGTTTTGCTATTGCATTTACTTGGCTTGAATGCAGTCCTTTAATTATTATTTTATCATAGGTGACCTCTCTCTAGGGATCGTTCGACTCCTAAAGGGGTCGCGACCAACAGATTGAGAATTGCTGATCTAAGCTTTTTTTAAAAAAAAAGACATTGCTACAACTCATGTGGGACGGTACTTTCAACCAATGTTGTCGCAATGCTCTCAACCAATGTATGACCGTGCTCTGAGCCAATGTTGGGCACTGCTCTCAACCAATGTGTGACCGTGCTCTGAGCCAATCTTGGGCAATGCTCTTAACCAATGTGTGACCTTGCTCTAAGCCAATGTTGGGCACTGCTCTCAACCAATGTGTGACAGTTCTCTGAGACAATGTTGGGCAATGCTCTCAACCAATGTGTGACCGTGCTCTGAGCCAATGTTGGGCAATGCTCTCAACCAATGTGTGACCGTGCTCTGAGCCAATGTTGAGCAATGCTCTCAACCAATGTGTGACCTTGCTCTGAGCCAATGTTGGGCAATGCTCTCAACCAATGTGTGACCGTGCTCTGAGCCAATGTTGGGCAATGCTCTCAACCAATGTGTGACCGTGCTCTGAGCCAATGTTGGGCAATGCTCTCAACCAATGTGTGACCGTGTTCTGAGCCAATGTTGGGCAATGCTCTCAACCAATGTGTGACCTTGCTCTGAGCCAATGTTGGGCACTGCTCTCAACCAATGTGTGACCTTGCTCTGAGCCAATGTTGGGCAATGCTCTCAACCAATGTGTGACCGTGCTCTGAGCCAATGTTGGGCAATGCTCTCGACCAATGTGTGACCTTGCTCTGAGCCAATGTTGGGCAATGCTCTCAACCAATGTGTGACCGTGCTCTGAGCCAATGTTGAGCAATGCTCTCAACCAATGTGTGACCTTGCTCTCAACCAATGTTGGGCAGTGATCTCAACAAATGCAGAGCAGTGCTCCCAGCCAAAGTATGACGGTACTCAAAGACGATTTTGGGAAATGCTCTCAACCAATGTTGGGAAATGCTCTCAACCAATGTGGGACGGTGCTTTCAACCAATGTGAGTTAGTGTTAACATTTTTTGGGACTGTACTCTAAACGGATGTGGGTCATTGGTCTTGACCAACTAGAGGTACAGATCTAAAAACCATGAGCCCATCGCGACATTAAGGCCTTTAGTGGGACATTGTAATGATCTCGTGTTGCTTTTTTTTTTTTGTTTTTTTTTAAAAAATATTTACTGTCATGCTTTCAATTTTATTGGACACTGCCGTCATGTCAGATTAACTCTTACATACACAGACGGTAGTAAAATGATACAGCCGTGGACTCTGCCTCACGGGGTCTAAAGGACAACCCTCTCTAAATGGGGGATAGATAGATCATTCGAAACAAATCATCTCTGTATATATTATCTCTATTTGTTTTCTGGATACGCTTACAAAATAGGATGAGTTGGATAATAATCTGTACATGAACAATTTTGAAGGCAAGCTCTATAAGCAGAATAAACTGTAGATCCATCCACATGTCAAAATATTTGTGCATAACTTTTAAGTGAAAGCTAAACCTGAACGAGATTTTGATAAATACAGGTGATTTTTAACGAAACCCTTTGAATGAGTAACTGGCCTTTAACTGTAAATGGGTTTTATTGAAGTATTAAGGATAGAAAACTAATATGTCTTAGTTGTCGAATCAATAATAAAGAGAAGGGAAATTTAATTTTTGAGGCAGTTTTGGTGATTTCATATAAAATAATAGAGGTTTATTCAAATGCCTAATTTTTTTTCACAACAATAATAACAATAACTCAACAATAACACTTCAGCGGGATTCAGAATCTACATATAAGCAAAACTGTCTCATTGTAATGAGTGACCATGCTCCGGTAACTTAACCAAACAAAAGTTGAAGTGTAATAAGAAATGTATATACATGAGTCAACGCGTGTCTCACTCTCGCCTAACTCTAGGGAAAAAAAAGGGGGGGGGGAGGGGTGGGGTGGATGCATGTCCATTTTCCCTTCTTGCTTCTTATGCAAAGCCACCTTATATTTACAAATACGGGACTAAGCATTAACTGATACATTTCTTAAAGTCAGTGGCTAATATTCTCAATAAACAATATACACAACTTATCACAAGACCTGTACTGACTTACGCTAGTGAGACGTGTTCCCTAACTAGAAAAGCAGAGAGCCTGTTCAATATGAGAGAGAGGAAAATCCTCAGGAAATCTAGATAGAAAATTGAAGTCTGGAGAATCCGTACAAATCAAGAGTACAAAACCCACCCAAAGTCGCAACAATAAAAAAGAAAGGCAGACTGCTCTGGGCAGGAAATAATATTGAAAGGATGCCAGATTGTAGAGCAGCAAAAGTAATATTCAGGCAGAAACCTATGGGCAGACGGCTCACCGATCGACCAAGACTGAGATGGATCGACGATGTAGAGAAGGATTTACACCAGTTGGGGGTT